AGGGAAAAACAACCACATTTGCTAATAAAAGTAAATAGATAGCTTGAGGATCCCCAAATGAAAACTGCTGTACAACCAAACTTTTCATTACCAGTACACATATGTCAGTTTATGCTAAAAAATGAAGGACAGAAAAGTCCTGTGCTCACCTTGTAGAGTTATCAGCCACCGGAGGATCAACCTTATGAAATGTCAGTTGTCACAATCTGGCTGGTTTGGGCAACCTAAGAAGAAGTTTCCAGCAGTTTCCAGCCCTGCCCTTGTTCACTCAGGGGCTTCCCGTGGGTCCCACCACTTTTCTCGCTGGCCACAATCAAAACAATGGTCATCACAACAGACATCCACTCCTCAGCCACCAAATAACAAAAAACACTTAAAAGAAAGCAAGTGAGTCAGCAGATGCGCCAAAGAGTTGGTGCAAAAGAGTTAAAATTCAGAAAGGCTGACAAAATTCAGATGCTTTTGCAGGTGGATGCAAAAAGAAACCACACTGCAGTCTCTAGTAGTGAGTTGGGGAACACAGGAAAAAAAACCCTGCTCTGAACCATTTCTTTTTATGAAGATAAAAGGACTAATGCTACAAAGGCATAAGAAATGCACTTCTGTATTAAATATAGTTTAAAGCCATCCTGTTTAGAGAAGTTCTTCCACAATCAAGTGTAGGCGTGCAGAGAATGTGAATTAGTTTGGTAAATGTCTGGGGTACCTACAATCAGTAAAAGTCCAGAATAGATCAGAGAACCATACCAGTTACTAAATATACGTATCATGATTTTATGGAAGCAGAAAGTTACTGTAGTCTTAGAAATAGAACTGAAAAAGTGAGCTACTAGTTATGAAAACAGAAGGTGTTTTCTTAAAAAGTTTATATAAGTTTGACTTCCTTAGTCACTCTTTTGCAGATTATCCTAAATAAACCTGTACAGCAACTATGGGAAAGTAACTAAAAAGTATCTCTAAACTGTTCATGAGAGGTAATCTGCTTCTTACAAGTTTCTGCAAACCGAGCAGAAATGAAAGATGTAAGATGATTATTTTATCTCTTTTCTGAGGTGGGTCTGGGATGTATGCTCATTTTCTCTCCTTAGTACTGTAATGTTGGGAAAAAATATGATAAACCAGAAACAAGATATGGAAGGACTTTGCAGCTTTTCATCTTCTTGTGGATTCAAACATAGCCCATCCTTGTAACCAAAAATAATTTTGATTAATGGACATCTGGTGATATATATGAAATGAATTTGGAATCTCTGATTCCTAGCAGATAAGATTTTTATCTTTTATCTTTACTCCCTCTTTTTATTCTGTGGTGTAGTCCTGTGCTGAATTTAAGCAACCATATCTTGCAGCCTACTTAAGACCATGCTGTCAGACTGTAAAATATATAATCCCATAAAAAAATCACCATGTATTGTTTCAAGTTCTGATGCCCATGTTGTGACATTTTGCTGGATTTGCTCAATCTTCTTTTAATTTTGCTGGAATTCTGTTATTGAACAATTCACTGTAGATGTAGGTATGAGTTTTTTTCCATGATTTCTTCCATCCATTGGCCCTGATGGAGTAGTTTTACACCAGCATGAAGCCTGTGTGTTATTTTCAATTACTGTAATGGCAGAATTGTATGTTTGATTCTCCACTTGAATCTCTCTGAGTGCATGGAGCACCAAATATCTTTGGATAAACTTGGTTTTCAATTACAAAGTGTGCTCTAACATCAGAAGGACCTGAGCCAGCCCTAACCATACTTTCTTCCCCTCTACAAGAGCTCCATTCGCCTGCCCAATGCCACCACAAACAGCTGCCTCCACAGAGCCTACCGATGAGGACACTGGGAAAGGGACGTGCATGAATGGGTACATTCAGCCTTGAAACATCCAGTGGGCTTCTTGGAGATGAGACGTTCCTCAGCACTTCTCTTCTTCCCTTCTAGCACTTCCATTCTCAATCAGTACACCAGCAGTGCACTGCGCAGATGAAAGTGTGCCAGAGGAATTATGTTTATTTCTGCATGGTATTACAACGACAGCATAGAGACACTAAATTCACCAAGAATAGTATGCAAGGTTTAACCCTTGCCGGGATGAAAGAACACGTTGCTGTTGCCCCTCCCCCACCCACGCCGGTCGGGTAGAAAGTTAAACACAGACCCCGGCTAAAATAACAAGAAATTTAATACAACAGAGTGATAGAACAATCTGAATAACAACAGTATCAATGGTAACAACAATAAACAGCAATAACAGTGAACAAGACAAAAGATATACAGAGAAATACCACTAAATGATCAAGGAGCAAACCCGCAGCGTGTATGGCAAAAACCAACACCAGAAGCGAAAGTAAAAAGGCTCCGCCCCTGGACCTGACGTCAGCATGGTATGAATAACCCGGCTGGAGATCCCTTCCCCCTCTCTCTCTGCTGGGGAAAACTTTACTCTATCCTGGCTGAACCAGGACATAATCCACCCCTTTATTCTATACCATCTGCGTCATGTCCAGCTGCCATTTAGCAGTTAACAATAACAAAGTAATAATCTACATACAGGCACAGCATAATTTACAGCATGTTCTCACCCAGAATCAAATCCCCCTGTGGTACACATTGGACCTCTCCATTGTCCTGCATCACCCACCAGGTGCACCCAGGTCCTTGGGCAAAAGCAATCCCGTGGATGGGTTTGCCTTTACCTTTGCCTGGTGCAGGACTAAACCAGACCATTTTTCCCAATATATTCCTCATGCGCACCACAGGGACTTTATCCCCATCGACAGCACGTGGAGGTTTCGACTGAGCCAGGCCAGCTCAACTGGCAGATCCTCTTGTGTTGACTAGCCAGGTGGCCTTTGCTAGATGCGTGTCCCAGTCTTTGAAGGTGCCACCTCCCAGTGCTTTCAATGTGGTTTTTAACAGTCCATTGTAGCGCTCGATCTTCCCAGAGGCTGGTGCGTGGTAGGGGATATGGCAGACCCACTCGATGCCATGTTCTTCTGCCCAGACATTTATGAGGTTGTTTCAGAAGTGGGTCCCGTTGTCTGACTCAATTCTCTCTGGGGTGCCGTGTCGCCACAGGACTTGGGTCTCAAGGCC